CTTTGAGCCCCAACGCAATTAACAACACTTCCTACTGTTTCTATACCAAATCCAGGCTTCTGATTTTGTAGATTGTGTTAATATTTAAATTAATACTCAACAAAGGGGGATAAATTATTACAAATGACTTGGACCTGCATCTTCACAGACCTCCACTAAAGCAGACAACAGCCAGGTGGACTCAGTTAGAGAGAGGAGGGAAGTGGACTTCACTGAACTTCCCTGAACTTCACTTCAGTCATTTGCCTTCAACATCATACTGTCATGCATATCAAGCCAAGTTTGCCGAATCAGAGAAGAAATAAGATGTGAAGCATATCCAATCGATCCAATCATTGCAATATGTTCCTTGTCTTACAATTCCTCCCCTTCAGGCACACTTTAAGATGAAACAACTTCCATGTTTTGAAGCTTCATTGTGTTCTTGTTGGACACTTTTAACTTTACGTCACCATGCGATTGATTCGATGCTGCTGCCACTGCGTAAGAGGGACCGCTTCCTCTCTAACGGTATCACAATTGGTTCTGCTTCACCTCTTTTAAAGATGTAAAAGGCTCAGTGTGAATCCAGATGAACAGATTAATCACAATTACCATTGATCTTTGGAATAAGGCGGAAAGTATGTCTTACATCAAGCAGGGAATTCTCAATGCAGACATAAATCCATCTATTCTTTTTAGTCAAGGTGCTAAATATCCAAACAAACTGATACATCAAGATAATATAGATTTAGATTTAATCGTGCATTTTCCTCACCCTTTATTTTCTCTCATAATTATTCACATCTCACTGCAGCCATTATTGCGAGAAAACAACAACATTCACTGAAGCACATTATTATTATAGTTATTACTAACAATTGGGGAGGAAAAGGAGATGTGCCTATTGCTCTCTATCTCTCTGCCTGCCTTTTTTCTATCTTCCTGTCGACTGTCATCCCTTTCAAGCTCTGTTATATCCATCTACACTTTAGTGGAGAGAGTAAATCAATATGTGTGAGAATCATGAGGTTAATTCCACATTCAAGGCAATAAATGCCATAGTCAAGAGTTGTGACAATGGGGAGAATAATAATACGTAACTTAGCAGGCATTCAAATCCCAATCCATCCAAATGTAATAGTTGCTGATACCCTGGAGGGGTTGCTCAAGCTGTTGAATAACTACTGCGACAAACACATTTTTCAAAAAGGTCAGAATAAGAGCTGTTCAGAGTGGTGTGAGTGTCTCATTGGAGCCTGAATAAGACTGCAGGGGCGACTGTGCTTCAAAGGGGACTTCTTCAAATGCCATATCAGCTCCTTAACAATTACTGTTTACAGGCCAAACGAATGCTTCACTAATAGCAACATAATGATTCATAACGCAACAATGGTAATACTGAGGTAATTCATGTAAATTGATGCTCCAAATATAATATCAGTCAATTGTACTTTATAGTGGGGAGCACACAATAAGTCATGCAGCTTAAGTTCTCCCTCCAACACTCATGAACACTCCTGACCTCTTGTAGTGGAGCTCATAGATGTTGCGGTAATAGTAGTCTTTGAGTTAGATGCAATGTCAAAAGCTCATTTGCAGTGTTGCAAAAAAAAGAAAGTCAAACATTATAACAAAACCCTCAGACTATCTTAGCTTACCAGTCAGGATGTTTCTGTCTTATAATGTGTACGTGCTCTAACGGCGGGATACACGTCTTCTGTCAACAGAGAAGGATCTGTCAACAATCGTAATTCTCCTCAGAAATCATTAAAGTCTGACAGTTTCCCTGTTTTGCTCTATGTGCTTCAGCGAGGGGCATGCCTTCACAGCTTCTATGATTTACTGTACACTTGGTAGATTACCTCTACTTTAAGATGAAAACAGGAAAACCCACAGTACTTTTCCTTTCATGACAATCACAAAACAAACGTAAAACTAAATCTTGATAGGTTCTTTTGCTTTCCATGATTTTGTTAAATGTTGAACAGATGGTCAGCATGTAACACAAACAAGATGTGTCTTTGAGTTAGTCCAGGCCCAAAATAATTTCTCGGTATTTCAGAAAAGTCAGGCTTAGAAATACTTCAGAAGCCCAACTCCTAGCCAAACTTATTATTTAATATTCAGAAATATATTTGAAATTTAACAGATTCCCTTATGAGAATTGTATTGGAGACCTCAAAGAATCTAAATATTAATTCATATCGTATTTCAAACCTAACCCCTGCGGCCAAAAGCTAAAGCAAGTGAAGAACTGCCGAAAAGCATGAGCTTCAACTAATGCAGTACTACGGAGTGAGCAATGAGTTGTGTGATCAAAACTCATTACTAGCCCACGCTTCTCGGAAAGCAGACGATGAAGTAATGTCTTTTACATGTCTTCTTTTTGTCTTTTGAGAAAGTAGAACAGTTGAGTTTGCAACTCTTTGACTTTTGAGGATAACTGCTCCAAAGGTACGACCATATTTTGCCACTTTATCTCACTAAGCACATATTGTAGCCTGCAGGTCCTAGGCAGAGAATACATGCTGCTGGTTGATAGTCCACAGTAATCAGACTTAAGGACTGAAATCCTTGGTGTATGAAGATTTTAACAATTCAGGAAAGCTATTGTGATTCAGTTAATTGAGAGTCCCCCCCATTGCTTGAATAGCAGTGTGTCCCAACTCTATTTGAACCCTCCTTCTCCAATCTCTAGGACTAATTTTAAAGATGCCTGTCACTGAGCTCCATGTAGAAGTGACGAGGGAAAACACCCACTGGAGACTGAAGGGGAAGGAAAAGGGGCAGAGATATAAAAGTCGCTCCTCAGAGACCCTGTGTTTCCTGCTGCAGCATCTCTTTTCATGCACAACTGACTGCCAAAGTTACCTTTTTTTGTCATCGACACCTTTGACATTCATACAACAGAATCAATGATATAGTGTGTGACATTATAAATCAGTGATGAATAGCGCTGCTTGGACGCGTGTCATGTCAGATGTGGTATTAAAAGAGAGGCCGGAGATTGACAGCTTCAGTAAAGCAAAAGGAGTGACACTGGGGGCAGGCTTGCCAGCATTCTAGAGATTTCCTCTGATGTAATCAGAAATATATTCAGAAACATGGAACGGCCGTGCAGCAACAATGATAAAAACCATAGCAGTTTTTAGACTGACAAAAATAGGAATGAGTACAAAAAGATTGCATTACAATTTAAGCTCTTTGTGAGGAATAATCATTTAACATGTTTCTGCATGTGTGGCCATGTGTCTTTGTCTTCTTGCCTGTGTTTGTCAGTGTGAATAACAGTGTGTGATTCTTACATTCACTGTGTAATATCTTACTTATTGTATTTATACTAATCTATTCATGAATTCAAACGGGATTCTGGTGTAAATGTCAGGTGAATTTCTTACTGATACTAGATTTAGATATATGTGTTAAGTGTTAATAATTTACATACCCAGGAAAGACACCACAAATTAAAATTTCAAAGATTTAAACTGCAAGAACCTAAAGCATCCGAAAATGTGAGTGCTCTAAGACTATACTGTAGTTTTATGCATGCACGATTGATTTAGGCTAACTGACGAGCCAAGATGTTCTTAAATAATCGTGTACAAATTGTTAACCAGTACAGCTGCTAATTAAAATGATTCAGTAGCTATTATGAAGGCGGGAACAGTGTCAACTCACAATATGTGCCAGACATGATTGGTGCTGGTCGAGCACATTTGTGTGGGAAATTCTCGCTTGGGATTTTATTATGGGAATAACATAAAGAAACATGATACATGTGTCACACAGAAGATCCATATCAGAGTGAATCCATAGGGATCACATGTGGATCTGCGCCAGAGAAGTAGACACATAAACCATGCTGTAAGATTGATTGTGACTGAATAGTACCATAGGACATGCTTTTTACACATTAATATTTCAGACAGTGTACCAGTGGGAGCACTTATTATGAAATTTAAGACACATCACATGTTATTAGCTGTGTTAATAGAAATTATTGTTTTTCTTTGTCATCAAAAAACCTGTGTCCAGGCTCTTCGGTAACAATTTCGCTCTGATAGTGATTCCCTGGGGAAAACAGAATCCAAATGTCCTCGGATATAGTGCAAGTCCATTAAGCTATGGCACCAAGTACACCAGTTAGCTGCTGCCTGAAGGGACTCCGAGTAACTGAAAAAACACCCTCTACAATTTCGCTGTTGTTCGGCAAAGAAAAACAAGAAAAAAGAAAAAAGAAATGAATAGAGATAAGACCCCTTTGAGCTGCAATCAGGAATTTACAACAGTTTTTTATTCCCTGTATTTTGTTACTGGCTGGTATGGTACACTATGGTAAAGAAAATGCATCTGCTACTGAGTCCTTAGGGTTAGGGTTACAAATTAACTGTATCTCAACTACCTACTTACAACATCATCTAAAGATCACTAATTCATCTATATCTGGTTTCTTACAAGGGCACATAACTGCTCATAAACTGTACAGCAGAGGTCTTCAACAGGGGGTCCGCAAAATTTTTGGTTGATTAAACAATATACTTTTTTTTTTTTTTTCCCCAAACATGAATCTGTCCATTATTTTAATAGTTCAGTATTGTATGCAAGATAACAGGTATGTTTATGCATGGCAGTGGCACTAATAGGCCATCACACATTTTTCATTTCCACATTTATGTTTAAAATGAAAACATCAATTTGAAGCTTGTATGCATGATTATCATGCAAATGACAGACAATATTGATATTGGCATTGGTATCAGCTGACAAGGTATGTTTATAAATGGCAGTGGCACGGCCACCCTGCTCACTGTACCTTGCACATGTTTAAAATAAATAATATATGAACCTGTGTATTATTTGAATAGCTTAGTATTGAATGCACAATAAAGAGGTATGTTTATACATGGCACTAGGCCCAGTTTAATATAAAACACAATTTCATACAATATAGATAGTCGGGGGTCCCTGCTCCATCTCTCTATCAGTTTGGGGGTCCTTGGCCTGATAAACGTTGAAGACCCCTGCTGTACAGTGTTGTTTTTACACTTTGATTTTTGTACAGATTTGTACTTTCTTGAATATTTTAATTTTAGGCTACTTTTTACTTCACTACATTCATTTGATAATTACTTTGTAGATTGAGACAAACAAATATACAAGCTCCCTCGGTAGATAAAGTGTATAATATAGTTAAATTCGCTCCCACTTTACTGGCTTCAACAAAACAGTGCTGTACACATTAATTATAATCCATAATGCACATTATTCTGAAATGGGCCATTCTGATTAAGGAGTGCTTTTTACTTTGAGGCTACTACTTTTGCACCAAACGAGTCTTGTGACCAGCGCCACATGTGACTAACAACATGTAGCGGTCTCCTGTACGAAAGCCCTGTGTTTGTTTAGCCTATCCACCACCCCTGCCCCTTAACCTCTGTAGACTATCCTGCTCTGTACAATGCTAGTTGCACTGAGTGGCTAATAATGACGCAGGTGGGTTTACATTGGAGTTAGTTGGAAGCCTGGTACATCAGTATCAGACGCCGACGGGTACTGACCAAGCGTTTGTAATTGACAAGTTGGAAGTATGACTGGTTTCAGATTGGAGAAAAACTGTCAGTTCTTCTGACATCCATTCATCGACAATTTAGTTTCTTTCAATTCACAACACAACATCACAAGAAGTCTGCCTTTCTTGAGAATCCTCTCTGCAGCAGTAGAACTCATAATGAGTGATATATTTCCTTAAAAGTGAGAACTTTAATTTTGTTACTTTTTGGACTCAGTGAATGTTAGTGAATGTTAACATGAACTTCAATATTGTGTTGTTGTTGCTTGCTCTTGCCCTGCTGTTATAAGGATTTTCTTTTCTCCAGAAAATGATGCAATGGTAGACTGTCTTTGGTCATCACAAAGACGGATGTTACGCTTAAGCGATTTAGTATTAGTGATGTAAACTACTCATGAACGACTGCAATTCACAGCCACAACTTTGGCATCGCTCCCTGTCCAAGACATGGTGATATCCATCCACTGACAGTGTACTCTGACTCCTAAAGTGTACTCTGTGTCTACATATCGGATTGTAAAGAATTATTTTTAAAAGTTTATTTCCATTTGTTGACCTTTATCCACAAATATTTCCAAATAACTGTTGAATACTTCCCAAAAATAATTTTACTTTTATTACGTTTTGAAAAACCGGGCACAGAGCTTAACTATTACTGACTCAAGTGTGTGCCATTGAAGAAATAGTCCCAGTGTACATCGGGAATTTATCACAAAATTGAACAACACAAAACAGTATCAAGGAATCAAGTCAAATAATTACAAACATATGTACAGAATCACAAAGAAAATCACTAAAAGCACTGATACAGGAACAAGTCATACATGGTCAATTCAAGCATTGGTGATTTAGCTACCAAGGTGGAACTTCCAAGACACACACCCAAGTCAGTGGCTCGAACCATTTGGGTTTTAAATGTTGTTAAATGTCTTTTTTTAAATGTTATAAAGTTAAAGTGTTTATTTTTATTTAAGGAAGCATTCTACATTGTTTGTGAATCTTTGGAAAGCGCAAATCACCATTACATTTAGGGACCCAGCACCTGGATAGGAGAGATGTTTTACACACAGATTTTCACATATATTCCATCATTTAAAATGAACCATAAACTATTAATAATAAATATTTATATTTCAACAGAATTTGTCATCATTTTTACTGGATTACTAATTTGCCAATTAGCAAACATTATAAACTTTGGTCCAGAGTCCCACCCTGTTTAGAGTTTCGTTTTGGCATTCTTGACATAATTCTCTTAACATTTCATTCAATTTCTGTGTGCACACAACCCTTCAGTCTCATGCTGATCTCATGATGCTAAATAAAATTAACTGGCTCATGCCTTCAATTTACAAAGACAATGGGACTCATCACCATAACAACACAGTTACAAACAACTCTGCAGTTTAAGAAAAGAGGATCTTTCAAATTTAAGAACAAATTTAGGAATATATTGGTGATTGAGGCCCAATGTCTTTATTGTTGAATTGAAATGAAATGCAGGACTTGTCACCCAAAACAACACAAAGATATATTGCTGTATCCGTTATTTGAGTTTTGGCCAAGTTCACCTCATTCTTACTCGGCCCCTGGGAGCCGCTTTAGGGGTTGCACACATCCACATGATTATATCTAGAAGCTGCAAAGTCAACATACAGTGCAGATCATTAGTTTGGCCTGGAACAACTCAGAGTCACTTCCAGTAAACACCATTACTCAAACTGCAAACCAGTCCTGGGAATAAGAGAGTCTGCAGACCAATGTCAAATCATTTATGGGTGTATCTGTATACACACAGTAAACACTGATGTTCATGTGGCACTTTCCAGTGTCTCATAACTTCATTTATTGGACATCTTTTGTAACTTTTTGTTAAACATACATTTCATGAGAAGTCAAGTAGAGGAGCAGTATAGCATGCATCACGTTCCCATTGCAGGCATATAATCACAGTTAATGTTTTAATAAAAATTATGTACAGCAAATAATAACAATAATACGATTTTTAAATTCATAAATTTGCAAAAATGTGGATATTGGCATAGCCACATTATACAGCAAGTAAATTGTCTCTTGTCTTTGATACACATTCCAATCAGTGATAGGTTTTAAGATTAAGAGCTCACGAATCAGTTTTAACACTGCAATGAACACTGACTTGATATCTATAAGATTTGCAGTAAATTTCCATCATCAAAATGTAAAGTACATACACACAATAAATAGCAGTTTGCAACTTGTATGTGTGTGGTATACACAGATGGCTCCTTATGTGACAAATACAATGATTTTACATGTTTATTTTCTCCATGAAACAGGTCATTGTTACAGACATTTTTTGTTTTACATTCAGTGATTTGGAGAACGGGACTCCACAAACAATTCACATATAGAGCCAACATGCCTTTCAATAAGACACTGCCAGTTTTTCTCAGCTCCATAACTTGAAAAAGCAGAACGCAGTTTCCGCCTGTGGTGAGTTTTCCTTAACAGGATGAGGTATTTGCCAGAAGAGATTCTTTTATTTGTCGCTCTTCCCTCAGTCCCTCAGTCTGACAAGTGAGGCTGCAGTTTAGCAGTGCAAGATCTTAATGAATGCCTTCCTGAACTCGACATTAAAGGTGGTGTATATGATGGGATTTACGGCACTATTCACGTAGCCCAGCCAAGTGAAAGCATTATACAGCTCAGCGGGAACCTTGCATTTTGTGCAGTGGGTGTTCAAGATATGTGTAATGAAAAACGGCAGCCAGCATATGATGAATACTCCTGAGGAGATACAAGAACAAAGGGGAATATTAAAAAGAGAGACGCAGAAAAGTGAAGAAAAAGCAGGCTCTTATTTCGGACACCAATTTGGGTAGTCGGACTTAAATATAAGAAGTTTTAGAACAATTTATTTTTGTTGCATCACTGCCCTTCTTGTTTTCAAGCTCCGTTTTAGGTCTTACTAAACAAAATTGAGATGGAAATAAAAACACAGAAGCAGCCTAGATCGAAGAGGGCTTGGGGCTTATGCAAATTAAAACATGTTTTCTATTGTACGTGTACATTACAGGATTAGTTTGTGGTAAATTAGAAGAGAAACAAATATTTAGTCTTGATGAGTTTGAATAGCGTCCAGCACTGTTTTTAAAACATATTAGTTATTTGGTTATGGAAATGCATAATTTCACACGGTGTGAGTTCCACTTTGCATATTCACGTAAAACAGCATTTCATTTAACTTTTATGTCACTTATTGTAAATTATTCATATGAAAGTAAATGCATAAAAAAAATGAAGTTACAAGTAAACCAACTTACCAAGGACAATGGCTAACATCTGGGTGGCCTTCTTCTCCTTCTGCTGGGAAATCTTTCTCTTGCTCATGGTTTTCACAGAGGTCTGAGTCTTGCCATTAGGTAAGGTCTGCGTCTGGAAGGCTTTGGCAACAATGGGTGTTGGATCCCCGAGGGCCTCCTTGGTAGGATCTCCATTCTTTTCTGCTTCCTGGCCTTCCTCGGGAGGTGTGGGAGGTGTGGAGGTGGGGCTAGCATTGGCCTTGTTGGGCATCAGTTGCTGGTGGCTTGTGGCCGGAGTGTCTCCAAGAGCACACTGTGGTTGCTGCTTCTGTTTCTGTTTCTGGCTGCAGCCACTGTTGTTCAGCTCATCCAGCTCCAGATCTTCCCCCTCATTAACTACATCTTTGATGAATATCTATGCAACATCAGGAGGAGCAGAAAAAACAACGATTCAGATGGTAATGTTTTATCCAGGCAATGGGTGGCATTTAAAATAACAAATGATCACACTTTTAGTCTTTAGCTTAGGTTTGCTGTGTTCACACAAACAGAAAGGTGCCTTTTCAAGCATGTTCTTGTGAGAAATGGAAGAAAGGCGACACCTTGATAAATCTTTTACTGTTTCCAACAATTAAACTTCTTAAAAAAAAAAATGCAGTACACAAAATGACAAAAAAGAGCACACACCACTTTCTTCTTGTTGACAGGAAAACTCCCATTAGATTTAACAATCATGGTGCACAACCTCACATCCTCTGGATGAGTGCACTTATCCTAAAAAGAAAACAGCTGTGTCAGGCAAGGAGAGGTTACAAAGTCAAAGCACAACTGACAAAAGGGCTGTCTAAGCACAGGTCCCACAGCACTACCGAGTCAAGTGAGGCTATATCGAGCTCTGGTAGAGAAAGGTGGTTTAGCAACAATCTGATCTGCAGCTTCAACTGCAGCTGCAAGTCCATCTACTTGAGCGTGTAAGCAATTGTCTGAGGTTGACAGTATAAGTGTTTTATTTATATTGTGTTATTTTTCTCAGTCAATATGCTGCCATACAACCACTTCATAAATTAAATTGTATAATAATGTGTAAGCCATATTCCCTGCAAACTCCCATGTCCGTTTTACTTCCTGACCTCATTCTATAACACCCACACACACGCACACACACACACACACACCACATAGTGAAACCATGCATGCAGTGCACTGGATGAAAATTATTACTTGACTTCCTGTGCAGAGAGAATTGAGCTGCACTATGTCAGTAAAATCAATAATCAGAAATGCAAAAGTTATTTGAGGGCCATCATGATTCAAGTTCAAGAGTACCTCATTTACATACAGGGGGAAAGAAAAACACTTAAAATGCCTTAGGTGTAACGAAGGCCCTTTAGAACGTGCTTAACCACTGCTAAGCTATACCACACCCTCTTCAGCGATGGGTATAGAAGCTGCAAGGCCCCTTGGGCTCTGCCTGTGCTTATAGAACTAGGGTAGTGTAACCTTTGTTCTAACTCACAAAGACTGCAAGGCATTTTTTTGGATAGGTCCTTAGATGACGCTTGCAGAGAGGAGCACTCAAGAGTTTCAAAGGAACCCTTCACCAAGGCTTCAAGCAGCAATAGCAGTTCCCACTGCGTGGAGGAGGCAAGCAATACCGTGCTTTGCCTCCTGACCCCCTGCAGGAATCGTTTCACACGAGGGTGGCCAAAGACAGGTCTCTCGCCCACAGTGCAAAGAGGAGAGACTAGACCCCACACAGAACAGGGGATCTAGCCTCCTTTTCTCCCACCAGTGCTGGAACCCTCACCACTTTGCCTTGTAACAGGCAATGGTGCATCCCGCTCTAACCACCTGGATGGTGTGCACAACCTGAGCAGACGGATCAGTCCTCTTCAGCCTGTTCCTCTCAGGAGCCAAGCCTAGAGAGGATGGCCCAGAATGGGCAGCGTGCATATTGCCCCCACCTCCTGATCCCCCCAGAACTGGGGGATGGTCCAGGGCTGGGCCACCATCATCGGAGTCACTTCTGCGTACCATTCAGCGACTTGGAGCTATCAGAAAGACCACTCCTCCAAGGCAGTTCCCTCCTCAACCCGTCAGGGAGGGGGGAATGGTAACCAAGTCGCTTGTGCTTCCTTGCATCCAAACGAAGGCTGGCAAATCACCTCTGCAGGCGCAGAAGATCGAGAGATTAGATCTAGGATGCGAAAATCCAAGACAGGCCTGAAATCTCCTGTCTTCTTGGGAACCAGGAAGTACGCTGAGTAAACCTTTTCTGTTTGTCGTGAATGGGGACGACGGACACTGCCTGTTTCTATAACAGGTCTTGGATCTCTGCTGAGAGGTAATCCATCTCCTCGTGGTAGAATAGATTCACCCTATTGACCACAACAGGGTGGAAAAGGCTGAGGTCTGCATCATCAGCCGATGGCGGGCAAATATGTTATAGAAAGGTAAATTGTTCAATCAAAACATTTTTCACATTATCAACAGCATGAAATTAAATCGTAACATTAATTATTTATTAATTAAGTCATTAATTACCAACATCAAACGGAATGAGGAAGGAGGCACAAAACCTCACCACTGCGTTGTTTGGGGGCGCCTGGGAAACACGTCCCACACTATCGAGATGCTCCCTAGACAGTCATTTCTCTGCTCCAAGCAGACCCGTTGCCCACTTTGTGCTAAACTGAATCGTTCACCTCGGATGTGGGCAATGCTGGGAGAAGTGGAGTGGGTGCCCTATCCCGCCAACGCTTTGTCATTCTAATCGTTGTGTTGTTATGCAAGGCCTCAGCTTCCCTAAGAGTGAATGAGCTGCAGGTGACGGCTGAACTGTGATTTCTCTTTAAAGCGCTGAGTGACAGATGAAATTGATCCAAAGAGTCCATCTGTAACAACTGGGGCTCCCAGGAGATCATCTCTGTCCTTTCAAAGGAATGATTTGATTCCCAACCACAAATGGCGGGAGCTCACAGGGGCTAGAAACATCAGTCGGCCCGCAGTGGTCATCACTTAAGTCCAAGCTGGGAGATGTTGGACCTCCATGGGAAACTGAAGTATTGTATGCCGAAAAGATGTTGTCTTTATCATCTGCAGACGGAGACGTGTCATATCATTGATGACGGGAGGCAGCAGCGAAACGTTGGCAGCTGGAACGGGGCCTTCGACAGCGTCATTCTCGTCAGCTCGCTCTTATTGCAGCAAAGCATCAGATCTAAGCTTTAGATGTAAACAGCTGCTGGTGTCAAATCCTGGGCAGTGCTCGGCATGCTGGGAAGGCTGGTGATTGCTGAACACCACTCTTTGCGTGATCCATGCCGAGGCACTTAAAGCAGGCCCTGTGAAGACGGGCACTGATGAGATTCTTGAAGCAGCAACTCCATCTGTGGAGGTAGGCAGTCAGTGTGCAAATCAGGCAGCAACCTCCAGTTCTGATAAAACTGAAGCCAATGCTGAAGTATCTTAAACTTGCATTCTCTCTACTGGCCAGCAGGGGGCAACTGCTCTGGTTACAAAAAGAAGTTTGATTGTATGGAAGTTCTTGACAAAATGGCCCTTCCTCTCACTTTATTTATTACCTCAGTAAAGATTGTAAACATGAGTTCATGGTCTTAATCCCTAATTTCCAGTATTCTTCAATAGAGCATGATGTTCATTCAGTAAATTATGCTTAGAGTATGCTTTAGGGTGGGCTACCTTATAATTGACAGGTCCCTACCACTACAAGAGCCGTATACGGGGTCTCTATATCACAACTCCCCAGTCAAAATATGGTCACTTTCAATCACTTGTTGCAAAAAGCCAAGATGGCGACGGCCGTAAGCCAAGATGGCACAACCAAAACGCCAAACTCTGGGCTTCATAACGACAGTACACAAACCAGTGAATGACGTTACGAGGACTACGCCCACTTCGTATATACAGTTTATGGTATATTTGTGGGTGGGTAAACGCATGCTCATGATTGGAAGAGAGCATTACCCATAAAGTCCAGTAGAGGTCGGAGCCTGTGTGAGTTAGAACTGAGCCTTGCCCTTTTAATGTTGCTCACTGTTTTTCCGAAGACAAATACCCTTCTTGTCTGGGTTTCCCCTTTATGGTATGTTGTTACGTAATCCAATGACCATCCATAAAACCATCAAGTATAATTGGGTTGAGAAGATTATTGATTGCAGTTTCATAAATAAACAAATTACTCACTTTTTTTATCTCTCTAAAATGCCCAGACAGTATAGAAAAATGAAGACTCTAGTATAATAAAAGGTGTAAATGAATCTGTTTCATTTTTTAATCGTAATAGCTTTATGACTGCAGCTATATTGCAAGCTCACCTTCAGCGAAGTGGCCCCATCCGGCTGGGCAGCCTGAGAGACGCGCTGCTTCGGTTTGGTGTTGACACGTTTCCTGCGCTTTCTCAGTACCACATAAATTTGCACATACACCAGCAGAGTGATGATGAAGGGAACATAGAAGGACACTATGGAGGAGTATACCACGAAGGCCGGATTGGCGATCGCACAGAGAGACTCATCACGTGTAGCTGTGGAGATAAGCAAAGGGTGAATAAAGGCCCTCCCCAAAACCCCAATTTTCTTTTCCTTTTTGTTTTTTGCACTGGAAAACTTTGACAATCAAATGGGGAACTTTGTTTGGCCTGAACTTGCAGCTAAGAACCAAGGGTTGCTCTTTGATTTCAATCTCTTGAAAACTCGCTTATTCCCTTACAACAATAAAATCCCTTAATCCAACCTACCTCACTCAAAACTGCCTTAAAGCTGATTGAGGAGGCTACCACTGGGCTTCTATCTGGTGCCAAATGTACAGATGATATCGCCCCAATTTTAAACTGGCTGCACTGGTTAATTTTAGATGTTGCTGATTTACTTTTAAAGCCGGCCAAATTTGCCCTGAGCTACATCACTGGCTATTTAACTCCCTTCACATCAGAACTCACAAACACACAAACACCTACACACCTACACACACCCACACCCACACACACACACACACACACACACACACACACACACACACACACACACACACAGGTGACAGAGTTTGGACAGAGCTGTTCATTCCTGAACTCAATAGAGAGGCAAAGTCCTTCCCCTTCTGGTGTCCCCCATTTCGGAAAAAATATGTATGGTAGTCAACATACACATACGGTGTTAGTAGATTAAATGTTAACGATAATAATATATAATAATTTTGCAATTGAAGAATTTAGTATGATTTTAGTGTTGTGTGAAATGGCTCAACTATAACTCTCTTCTTTCACAATGTATGTGACCAACACCAGCATGTCCATTACCTTGGTTTGCTAGATAGGTAACTTAGCTATGTTCCATGCACATACTGTATATCACAGTGTCTTACCTGATGTGTTTTACCCAGTGACTCTTTTTATCAGCCAGGAAGCAAAAGAACGAGCAAGACAAGTTGTTCATGTACATTCCAGTATGTAATGCACAGGCTTTGTAGCTTTATTTAGAGATGTCAACTACGCAACTTTTTGGTATGTAGTGTTTCTAATGAGGTATTTTCAGTCTTATACTTTATTAGTTTTATTAGAAAATGCGACTTTCCTGACGTGCTAAATTGTATTTCAAATTGACAAACATATGTGTAATTCATGGCACAATTCAAACGGGATGAAAAAAAAACGTTGACTACCAGACATATTTATTTCCGAAATAAGGTGGTGTTCCACCAGAAAGTGGCAGGGCTTCAATTCTCTTTGCAAAAATGGACCCAGTAAACTTCAGTCCCTAAAGGGCAACTCCAGATTAAGCAACAATTGTTGCCACACAAGCTAGCAACAGTTGTCATGGATACTGTAGATGTCACAGTAATTGCGTAGTTCATGTTCACAACTTGCTATCTTCACACTTCAGGATGGCTGTGGCTCAGGAGACAGAGCAGGTTGTCCATTAAAGGGGAAGCCCAATTTTACAAATTAAATTCTGTTTCCTTGTCAGTAGGACTCCGATTCAGCCTTTGAGAACAATATAATATCTTCTAAGTCTGAAAGATAACCCTTCAAAATAACTCTGTTATTTGTATGTAATCTTAAGAACAGGAAACCTGTGTAACACACGGGGGGGTAGGCATCATGGGAAATGTAGGATCCAGTGCTTTTCAGTGATTGATTCCCCCAACTTGGAAGTTGCATGCTAATTGGCTCAAATATCCCTTTAATTTTGAATCACTTTCCAAATGTACACTCTCACACATGCATGCAGCCAAGCACACAAACCTGTGACTGTGTGTGCGTGGGTGAATAGAAGGCACATTGAACAGTGCTTTGGGTAAAAGCACTACAGAGGATGCAGTCTGTTTACACAAGTAGAAAGTCATTGTAATCAATTAAAGTGTTTGAAATGATCGATCGTGACCTCTGACAAATGTGCTCACCCGCCACAGTTTTACATGCTTTTAATAAAAAATAAAAAAAATGTTAAATATAAGTTGATAAAGCATATCAACAAATTGCTTCAGTTTTAACGGTTCCTGCTGGTCATGGTTCTCTGCTTTCAGATTTCTCAAAGCTCACAGTGGTAAACTGTCCCTCCTCAACTTAAAAACGGGTGTGGGGCTCACAAATCCAAACATCTGAGTTCCGGCAGAATCAACGTCACATCAATGCACTCAAAGGGATGAGTGAAGCTTCAAAGAGACAGGAATCGAGCCACAGGAGCTGGTCAGCAACAAGTCTTAGAAGCCCTTAATCTGCTTTAACTGTAATCCTACGTTAAAGCCCATGTTTTGTGTAATAAGCAACCTAAAGGGATATCGTTCGCTTGTTACATGAGGTAATTATTTGCTGGCATGGGTAGCTTATATTCACTTTTGTAAAACAATGCTGCATTGTAGAATGTGCAATGCAAACATGGTCAAGAATTTAAAAGATACATCAGGTATCTTTACAATGTGTCTATATTGTACATGCTGTACTATACTGTGCAGTGGATGCATCCATGAATAATACAGTATGGCACCGCTGTTGCTCCTCCAATTTAAGTCACACACCATAAAAAAAAACATTTATCGTATGAATCGTGCCCTTTCTTACCTGTGTTATTTAGGCCAAACAATAGGGGGCATGATATGGCGAAAGATAGTACCCACACCACAGAGATCATTACTGTGACCCTTCTCCTGGAGCTGTAGCGAGTATTGTACAGCATTGGCATTGCAACTGCTGTGTAACTGTAAGGGGTGAAGAAAAAATAGCCACTTCATTTGAATGTACGAAAATAACATCAAAAAACACCTTTCTACAAGACAACAGGGAAACTATGAAAAAAATCTTTCTCGTAAAATTTGCATGGTTTCAATTTATTCATGTTAGATTTTATTGAATGTATTCCCTTCCTCTTACTAGTTCTCTTTCTTCATCAATGGATTTCAGCTCAAAAGGGGACCGAGAACATGAAGCCTACAAGTGGTAAAACCAAGAGATCTTGCCTGTCATCTTTGATCAGGATGTGTTTGATGTTGGTTAGGCGCTTTGGAAACAGCTTTGTGCTGTGAACTGCAGTTTACATGAAGAGGAGGAACTGTAACGTAGAGTTTTTCTCCCAGGAAAGACCTTATGATTTAAGCTTGCTGCATTGGTTGACCTTATGAGTGAGCTTGCTGTAATCACCAGGGCATTTTTATACCCCGTGTCATGCATCGATTTCTGTGCAATTTGGTTTAAAAGACAAGATTGTTTTGTTTGGGTTTCTTTATGGAAACACACAAGAGAAATAAGAATAAATCTAAGGAAATTGTATTATGTTTGTTGTCAAGGATTGTGCAACGAACTGTACCAAGGTCTTGGGTAAAAGAAGCCTTGGGTATGGAAAAACCTGACCAACAGGCCCAAAAGTTATATTGTACAGTGCTGCTGCAAGGCCAAAAGAAAAGTGTATTTCCAGAACATGACTGACAGTTAAATGTTTTCGTTCACTTGCTCCTGAATCACAATTTTGGGGCTGGATATAGATTACACTTAGCAACACAGAGATAGCACAACATAGGTTCAGAAAAGATCAGGCATAGGAAAAATATGTTGCCAATCACATATAGTAAATATACCTGTAATTAGAACAATCGTAAAAGCAACATATTGTCTCTCATATTAAATCTCGTGACACGCTACCAAGCACAGGCAAGACAAGTCTTTTCTGCTTTTGTGCTTTTCTGCAGACCAAATGAGAGGGATATCCTGCATTTATTCACAGGTCATACAGCTCAAATCATCGGAGATGTCGGAGAAACTCTCATGACTCCAGACCTATTTTTTCAGGATCATCATAATCATATTTTATGTCACATTAATGGAATATCATAGGGAGTTCAGCGTGTATGTTACTATATAAACAGTTCAAACAGCCTTTAGTTTTTTCTCATGAAATTTGAAGTAGTTTACTGTAAACACATTCAGATACGACTCATTTTGCCTTACTTCATGTCACTAAAGTTCAAGGCTAACTCCTCCGATATGCTTGATATTTAAGTGCACATTATGATTCGTTGAGAGCGTTATGATCGTAAAGTGTCTTGTGGTTCAATTTAAAAACAGTCTGCCTTTTGGCAACATAATTTAAGTTCCGTTAAATCACATTTGACATGTGTATATTAATATCACCTCCTACACAAAAGCAGTTTCGCCTTATGCCTATGGTCTTCTGCTTTTAAAGAGGATGTAAGTAGCTGATTTGCGTAAATTTGTTCATCCTTTTAATAACAGGACAACTAACAAGGCTTTTTCTTTTTTGATGCTATTCCTCTCTTGTAACATTAATTTCAAAAACTCGCAAACAATGAGACCATGAGATTATTCAGAGTAACTTTTGATAAGCTTTTCTCCACGTATGAAACATTAGCATTCTACGGTAATCTATTCACTTCAGTAACAGTTGAAATTGTGTATGTGTGTGATGACCGTGAGTATTTGTTTTGCATATGGATTGAAGATTGAAAATGCAGCCAAGCCGCAAATCATCAAATTAAACTTGACATAATTCTATAAAAGGAAAATATGGGTAATTCTATGTCCTCGCTAACAGGGACATCGCTCTCACCCTTTAAATACATATTCTGGTTGTCAACATTACATGATTACTTCCTACAGTTTATTGAAAGCTTGAGCTTTCCGCTCCCTTCAGCAATTTGTGATCATTTGTGTCATTATTCAATAAGTCATCATGCCAGTTACACTAAATAAGTCAATTCGTTTTTGGACAAGGCATTAATGAATCCAGGACGAGGAGGTTGCTGTCGTGAACTGCACCTCCTTTTAAATAGAACTCTGTCTAAAACTTTGTACCTATCCCTGCTATAATCAATATTTTTATATTAAAAGAAATCAATAGGTGGATGCAAGGGGTCGCTCGTAATAACACACTCACAGAGAATGATCACTTAACTTTGTAGTTCCCTTTCTGCTCGTTGTTTTGTTTTAAAGGCAACATTATTCTATCGATTTACTCTCACTGCATTGTTTTCAGCAGCAGAAGAAAAGTTCTAACAATCCACTTTACAATACCTGCGCTGCACCAAGCAGACAGTTACAGTTAGTGAGTTGCTGGTGAATACAATGGAGCATTTAAGAGCTAAAGACAGATATTTCCCTCAGGATTTTTTTAGAGACCAAAAACTAGCTATAGGAGAGCGCATTTTGGTGGCTGTAGACACAACTGTCAAGGTATGCAAATGTTGCACCGTATCGGCTGAATTTGAAAGTAAGCTCGCTAACACAATTAACATATGAACTTGACACATGCTTTCAGTTTCATATATTTCATACACATATTTTCTTACATCTAACTGTTGTTTCCATTAGGGTTGAATGGATTTGGACCTTTAAATATATAGAGTTCTTCCCCATTATTACAGATAACCTTAACATCAGGCTGAAAAGAAGTGTTTCACTGCCTTCTCTGTCTGAGAGTTTCAAGCCTGCTGCACCTCTAACCATACCCATCATCACTGATGAATGCGGGTCAGATGTGCAGTAATAGAAGTGTGCTCTGTTGCACTTGTAGCTACCCCCAAAAGAGACTACATTGACATGCACTACTCATATTCCACTATTATTCTGAATACGACAATGTTCTGAATTTGATACGGGTCATGTTGACATCATATTCCCTTTGGATATTCTGAAGGTTTCAGGCCTTACTCCGAATGGAGCATTTCAAGATGTGCCGATATAATTTGGGTTTTGTGGCTAAGAATTTTGGACATGTAGACAGCGCATTTGGAAAATGTGTCTCGATTGGAGTTTTTACAGCACTTTGTGACACACAGCCTCTTGCCTGTTTACGTGCGATGTACACAAACAAACAAGCCGACAGTTTGTAAAGGTGGAGTAATGATGCATGCCCAAAAGAAATGCCCACTCATAGAAGGAGAACCACAGCTACTTACAAACATTATGAAGGATATCAACAGGTTTTTGGATATGTTCAGATATTGCAATGTTGATATTTTCAAGAAGGTGGTTGAGGGAATGAAAAAGGAAGGCTGTGTTTGCACAGTGGAAAAGTTTGAAGAAAAACAACATATTTTGACGCAAAGAAGCAAAATGGCACAAGTGGCTTCTGCTGTTCCACTTTTCCATATTTTTATGGAAATTTATTCTCCTGAGCACATGTCTCAATCAATTATGCACACTTTTATAGATATTGCAGCATTTTAACATATTCAAATTTATGACTCTGGAACATCTGGCAGCCAGTAATTACGACGAGTGCGCACCATATAGATATACATAAAATAAAGGTGTTGTGAATGGTGTGAAATGAACGTTTTTAGTCTGTATATAGATATATGAGCTTTAATGGTCATGCTCTTAACGATTTCCTTCGAACATCAATGAAGAAAGCATGACAGGCAGCCCTAAACAATCTATGCACTGGCAAACTCACCGATCAATGCTGATTGCACAGAGATTGAAGATGCTGGCTGTGCACATCATCACATCGAAAGTGACAAAGATGTCACAGTGGATCTTGCTAAAGCGCCACTCTCCCACTACCTAGAAGAGAAACACATCAACAAATGGCAGTTTACAGCAACAGTCAACAGAAAGAAACGCTGCACATTGGCAGAAGCAATATGCATTAATTCTTCATCAAAAAGCAATCACGATAATAAAGTCTCCTTGTGTATTTTTTTCACATTTCCACATCAAGAACAGCAAGAGAAGGAATAGAAAAATGAATGAAATGAAAGAATAAAAGAATGAATGAGTGTCAGTCAGTACATTTAGCCCCGACTCTGGACACTACGAGGTCCTGGGAAATCAATTAGTGATTGGTTTGTCATGCAGTTAACATGCTTGAATAAGCATGATACAAATCAGAATGTTCTCGGTTGTAAATGGTGATGTCTGATAGGAAAAGGATTGAACAGCTGTCTCAACTGAAGTGATTAATTGCAGGTGCATTTTACAATATTCACAGAATCCAAATAGTCTATTAATGTTATCAAAATAATGTTACACCTGACATGGTGTAACGATTATATGACTTTATTTCTTTAATTGTAGGGGACTTATTTATTGTACAGAATAACATTGACAGTAACATCAGCAGTGACTAATGTACAATTACAGCTGAAGCAAATTTCCAACACCACTCCCTTGATGGGCAGTCATAGTTTAAGCGATCATTGAAGTTACACGTTACAGTTCAAAATCCTAAAATCAGTGCATGTTACAATCAAAAACAAGCACCTAAGACAACACAAACACAAACTTGAAAACCGACAAATGAAACATTAAACAGAACGCAAAACATTTCTAGTTTTGACTCAAGTACACAAATAATTAAAAGGCGGAATTAAACACTATAGGTTACAGCAAAACTATAGGCACCCTTAGTGTTAGTGAGGTAATTATCCTTTAGCATGCATCCTGGTTTGCTGCCCCAGGTGCCTTTCAATCTATTCAAAACTCTTCCTCTCAAATTCATAGTCAAACCCCAAGATGAAACCACCATCATCGGTGATGCTGAGCTGCCCGCTGCCACCCACCTTGCCTGTCACTACATCCTACCTGCTTCCTCCCACGGCTCTGAAAAAGGTAAGAGATATGAGAATCGGGGAGGAACTCTTACCTCTCTGTCTGACATGTCTTTATAAAATTAAACGACAGCTTATTGTGGTTGCTAGTGAGCACGACACTAGTGGTGATTGTGAATCATCTGACAGCCTGATGAGCGTCCTTCTCTCCGTCACAACCTCTCTTCTCTTCTCTTCTTCTTTTGCATGTTTCCTTTTGCTTCAGTCTGTCTTCCCAGTATCTCTACACTATCCTCTGTTTCTCTCCCTCTCTCCCATCACTTAATTTCCTTGTTCTTGATCTTTACAGGTATATGACAATCCACAGGTAGCTCCTCTCACCAGCTACACCCACTCAACCGTGCGTTTTTACATCCACATCAGTGCTGCAGCCCGTAACAAATTAAAGAGCCGCACAATACCTGAAAACCATTTAGAGACCCTTGTGGCTGCAACACGGATCTATTCCTATCAATGTGGGGAAACACGTTCGGTGGATATTAATGCTTGTTTGAGGCAATGAAATCAAAACAAACATATGCTAAAAGACTGTGGGAGTTTTTAAACTCCATTTATAACAACACACTGTGCATAGCTATGATCATTTCGAATGTATCAGCATTCTGATTTAATTTGCAAAGGTAAGGTGTTGGCAAATTGAAAATGCAATACCAAGGTCTGGGGAACTGAGAACGTGGTTAAAAAATTTCAATTTGAGAGTGAAAGGAAACTTACGCTCTCTGCTCTTTCATCTAAAATTGTCTGTCTTTCACAACAAACTATATTAAATAAGACCATTCATGTTTCATGTTTCAGTGCTTGCATAAAAAACTAAGACTAAGTAGACGAGTCAAACAGCAGTTAAGAAAGAACATATTTCATGTCAAATACTACTTATCATTTATCTCTGTGTCACAATGTTGGATGGATGGATGATCATATTCATCTATGGATACACATTAATCTTGGTTTTGTATATGATCCTTTTTAATAGAATGAACTGTAAGCTGATCTTAAACTGGACTTTTTTTTATTTTCCTTGGAAATGTTTAAGTGTGTTTTGTAGCCCAATTGTTGGTTGTCTGGCTTTACATGTGTTGTTCTTGTATGTAACTTTCGTTCTAATTCACTTTGATTTTAAACAAGCTCTGAATCCTCAAGCCATGCACAAAGTTCTCTCCATATGCTCTCTAATCAGTCACACTTGACAGAAAGCGAAAAACTGTGGCAATTAATGCTAATTCAGCATTTAATAATAAAGGGCAAGTAGACTGCCCTGCCCACACTCTGTGACTAAGCTCTCGCTAAAGTTCATGCTGATACATTATTAAACAGGAGAAACTTAGTCACAGCCACGGCCGTTGACACTAGAATATAAAAAAATAAAATGTCTGCCGTAAATAAAGAAGAAAAAGGAGTGCATATTTGCAGTGGGATTGGAGGTTGTTATTTGTAACAAAGAAGAGACAAACAAAAGAACAATATTGTACAGCAAAGTGTTTGTTGTCATTATCTGAAGCCGCATGATTTTGGGCCGTGTCTCTGATGGGAGATGCTTGTCCTGAAATGTATAAATAAAATTCTCCCAGACAAAAATAGTTGCAAGCCGGTTTGAGTCTCCAACAACATATTACATATACATGTTTAATTATCAACATTCCCACTCCTACCTAATATTCTTATGTTCAAGGATTTATACTATTCTCTGTCTATGTTACTTCCAGTAGCGGGCCGTGCATTTTATACCTAGGCCTTCACTGTTGTCCTGCAGCTGAAATACCACCTTATAACCACATGATGGCACCAGAGTTATTATTAGTTTCTAAGGCTGTAACTATGTACGTATTAAATGTACGTACCGTTCGGTACGAGATTTACAATACGTTTGAATAGTACTAGAGCATTTGGAAAATGCAGAAGCTTATATTCAGGAAAATATAATGTTTTCTGCCCTCATAGAGGACAGTGGTTCTCTGCTGGTCTGGCTGTGGGACCCACCATCATTCCTTATTGACAAGCCACGGCCCAAAGAGACCTTCTTATGATTTACTTTGAACGTTGAACGTACTGCTCTGCAATGTCTTTCCTCGTCTCAGCCCCCTGTGTCATGGTGTGTGGTACATCTCACTCGGGTCAGAATGCCCATATTTGATTGGCTGAGCTGCATCACGTGATGTGATTCACTACCCGACAGCCTCTGCTGTTAAGTTTCGTTTCACGATAGTCACGTGCTCGCCCACTGACCAATCACAGCACACTCTGCACCTTGCGGCAGAGCTGCACATGGACACTGAGCGGCATGTAATGCTGACGTCATTATAGGCCGGCTAGCAGGCTCTGATACATCAAAGAATACGCCCAACATGTCAAACTAAAGATCTGATTGGTTGAAGAATATGACAATCAACAATATTGTCCCCGTTCACTTAATCTGCACTGGATGCACGTGAGAGACTGCAGGCCTCTGCCTCTGTTCTTACCTAGAGACACAGAGGTGAAATCTGATTGGATAAAAGCTCTACTTAAAACAAGCTGCACTGGAAGCAGAGCAACTGAGGAAGACAGTAGCTGTGCAATGAGAAAATAAGATAATGGGAAACATATTTTTATGAATTATAATACATGTAGTTAATTAAGAAAAATTATTAAATTCTAAAATAGATATAACTTTGTGATTCTGTTTAGGCCAGCAGAGAAGGCCTTGCAGGCCCTGACGGCCCACCACTGCTTACTTCACATTAGCAGGAGGCCTGACACACCAAAATCAGTTGACCATCCCACTCCAAACACATGCTGGATAATCCATTTTGACTTTGATAAAACGCCAGTATTTAGTTCTCAGCATATTAATCTGAGGAGGCTTTCACCCAAATTGGAGTTATTAGTGTGTAAGGATGAAAAAAGAAGATGGTTGGAGTCTTGTGAAACTGAACTGAACTTAAACAGGTCTGCTCTCTATTTTATTGTCACAGAATCAGCTGGCACAGGAAACCATAAGTACCCCCCGAACAGTGTTCAGGAGAACAAGATGGAGCTGGAATCAATTATATTGTAAGCCTGAATAAAATAATAATCATGGCCCTCTTTGATCTAGATATGGATTCCTGTGGCTCACATGAATAATGTGTGACAAAATTTAAAATAGAAATTCAGCCCGTTAAATAACTTAAGAAAAATAGCTACAATCCTACACTGTACAAATCCACCCTCACTGTGTCCAGTTTAAATGAGCTCAAGGAACAGAACACATAAGAAACACCAGATTCCTGAAAGTTTAGAGTCAGAAGATACATTTTAAACTTTTCAAATCATGTGTATTCTTTTCTGTTTTAAAAGGGGCACTCTGCAGATTTTACACATGACTGACGGTATACTCATCATTAGGAGTACTACTCAGCCTGTGAAAATGATTGAATATGTCATCTGTGGCTCTGGTGTGAGCTGAGAAAATTCCCCTGACGATGTCAAAATGATGTCATGGTTATCTCGGGTTGGAGACCAAAAATGTGTGATGACAAGTTCTGTGTTTGATGATTTGTCTTTATTATGACGAAATATAGTGTGTTTTTCCAAAGATAAACTGAAAGAAGCACGGATGCCAGCAGCAACAAGAACGCAGCTGACTGCTGAATATGCATCTTGGTAGCCTCATGCTGTTTGCATGTCTCCAGCACTATAGAAATACAGGAAACCCAACTGGCACATTTGTATCACTGTTGTGTTACTTATATTTTATGAAAGTTTCAGAGCGGCTCCAGGGATCACCACTCTCGAAATGTGTTGTCCACCTGTGCAGCTATAACACCTTACACCATCAGGGACTCACTTTTCTGCTATGATATCAAAACTCATATTTTATTGAAAATGTTTTATGCTACAATTTGGAGCTTTGATATGAGGCAAACTGTAATTTCTCTCATTTCTACATTGCTTTAATGTAGGCTCCCTCTGTGTGGACTCAGCTGCCCAAGTAAATAATTCTGATAAAAAACAAACAGTGTGCAGGTTGCATACTTTGTAGTAAACAAGCTTTTGATCAGAAAAAAAGTTTTTTGTTTATTATAATGGTAATTTATAACACTACCCACAAACACTATTGCTATCCCTGTAAGATTACTTTGATACAATGCTAGTCACCACTGTGCTGTATGTACAAACATACATCCGTGGAGACAGGCAGACACCATGACACCCTATTGATTTAAACACTGTAATCTGATCAGTGTCATAATTATCATGAATCACTGAGAGGCACAGGAGGATTAGCGTCCCTGTAGTCTTAGTTTGCCTTTCTCTACATCAGACAGCGTGACCTAAAGCCTGATGGTCAGAAATAATGCTGGGAGTGAGAAGATAGACAGAAGAAATGAGCAATGATCAAGAGATAGAAAGAGACTCGTCTGAAAAATAGCTCACATCCTGCTTGCTATTGATTCAGTAGATTGGAGATTATTCTATGCAGACCCGAGTCTCTGTTCTGTTTTAGGTTGCACTGGTTAGCAGGCATCGATGTGTCTGCTTTAAAGAAACAAACAAAAAAGCAGGTCTGCATTATCCCACACAGCAGTGAACGCAAAACGATATTTCCCAGAATTAGGAAAGATTATTCACAGACATCTGACCTCTGACTGAATACACCAGTCTGGCATTTTGATGTTGTCAGTGTTGCTACATTGCAGGTCTTTAACCACTGCAGGTCTGATATTTACAATGCTGATGTGAACATATCAGCCGTCACCCTTGTGCCACCTTAAGCCTCTGACCTGCTGATAACTGCGGACGGCTTGCTTGGCTGAAAAACCCTTTTCACCAGTATTTTTCTGGCACCAGATTTCATATAAATGCCTGTTGTTTGCATAATATGCTATCCTATTTTCTAATGCCAAATGGTGTTTCTTGCTTTCAGAGCCTACCTTCTGATGTGTTGTTGTCGGTATACACTTTCGTTATAATGGAGATACTATAAAAACAGGAATTTTTTCATAGACGTTATCCTGCAAGTCTGCAAATCACTTTATTTTGTTTTCAATGACAAAAGATAACACAGAGAAAAAAGATGTAATCTGTCGCTTTACAGATGTGGAGAGCATGTCGGCTGCTCGGAGCATGTCAAGTTATCTATGTACAAAGAGTGTGCAGTATGTGTGTAAATGTTGTGTATCCTACCTCTAAGTAGACAACCCAGGGCATAACCAGTGTGGCCACCAGGAGGTCAGCAACAGCAAGGCTGACAATCAGGTAGTTGGTGGTGGTCTGCAGGGCCTTCTCTCTGGACACAGCGATGCACACCAGCACGTTGCCGAAGACAATGACGAAGATGAGCAGAGTAAGCAGCATGGCATAGTAGTTGTAAGGGTGCTTCTGCTCTTGATCTGTTTTGTTGAAGCTCCATGTTTCATTGTCATTGAAACTGTCATTGTAGGCATACTGGGTAAAGACATCCATTAGCTGTGAGTGACGAAGGCCAAGTACGGGCCCTACAGACACAAAGAGAGAAAACAGCATTTTAATGTAGTTGTGTTTATGTGAATGTGTGCAGCTTCTGGAGAAAACAAAAAACTAACTTTTTGGATAATCTGTATTCCTGCAGTAATTGCTAGGCAGAGGCCATTTGTCTATTAATCGCTTAAACCGTGCCAAACGTAGTACTGGGTGCATCTTTATTCTGAATTATAGTGGATATTCCAAATGCGAATTAAATGATGTAGAAGGCATTTAACATACTTCCTTCTGATAAAATAATAACCATAAAAAACCTTGAATGAACCTAAAGTGAAAAACCAAGACATTATAAGTTCCTTTATTGAACTGGCAGAAATACAGTTCAGCTGCTGGTGAGTGTACATAAAACTACTCAAAAGCCAGAAGTCTGCATTAACCAGAACATATCATGATAGTGTAGAATACTCTCTTTTACAACTACTAATGAAGTTGTAACACAACACAAGAAAAAAAACCTCTTAGATGCGACGTGAGCATGTTGATGTGTGTCTGCTCACATCTGCCTAATATGCAGGTAAATATGCTTCCCATTTCATTCTTTTTTTTCCAGGAAGTAAGAAGTTATACCCTGTGGAGTTTCCTTGTATACAAACACAGCTGCGTTTACATCGAGTGCTTCACATCGAAACACACTGTGTATCCTTGAGGCAGAGCAAACATACTAAATACTTTTGCTTTTAAGCTTTTAAAGGCAAACTGTTTGTTTACCTCGAGGGTTTTGTTTATATCGGATGCTTGGAGAGTCTGAGATACAAACAAAACTGGGACATGCTCATCTGAATAATGCTCCATAGTGCTACTTGTGGACAAAAAACTCCACAGTGGGCCTTAAAGGGGAGTGGTATACTGTTTAGGGCTTTAGCATAGCATCAAACAAACAAACAATGGAGCTGTCTTCCATGTGATCCTTCTGTCGACAGACAGATCCCCATGATATCAGGATACCCTCATTACTGGAAATGTGCCAGGAAAACACAACATGAGAGCTTTTGTTTCATCAAAGTAATGAGTGCCGCTGCACATTTACGATTTACATCTATTTGAAACTGCAGTAAATATTAAATTATCATGGTATGACTTGCATTGTCAGGCAGAAAAAAAAGTATTTAAAGAATATGTTTGTGCTTAGCCAATGTATCACAAAGTAGCCACACTGCACCATTATGTATTATTAATGTAAATCCTTTAAGGACCTTGGGTCTGTCAGTCCAATGGTGGAACACTTTATATTTAGTGAATATTTAGTATTGCGACATGAGGTCCTGATCGCATAATGACAGTCCACAAATTGACTGCGCTTCTGCTGCATTTTGCTTAAAACATATGCTGTAAGGTGTATAATCACAGACTGGAAATTCCTGGGTTATGAATATCTGAAGTCTACATCATCCTGCTCTCTGATTTGTCACTTTTACTGTTTAGTAGACCACTGTTGCAAACTTAATGAAGTTATACAGTTGTGTGAAAAAGTGTTTGCCCCCTTCCTGATTTCTTATTTTTTTGCATGTTTGTCACACTTAAATGTTTCAGATCATCAAACAAATTTAAATATTAGACAAAGATAACACAAGTAAACACAAAATGCAGTTTTTAAATGAAGGTTATTATTAAGGGGGAAAAAAATCCAAACCTACATGGCCCTGTGTGAAAAAGTGATTGCCCCCCCCTGTTAAAACATAAATTAACTGTGGTTTATCACATCTTTGGAAAGCTGAGTTCAATTTCTCTAGCCACACCCAGGCCTGATTACTGCCACACCTGTTCTCAATCAAGAAATCACTTAAATAGGACCTGCCTGACAAAGTGAGGTAGACCAAAAGATCCTCAAAAGCTAGACATCATGCTGCGATCCAAAGAAATTCAGGAACAAATGAGAGAAAAAAGAAATATCTTTGGTTGAGAAAAGCTGGTTTCAAAACGAAAAGCTGAGATGAGCTTGGATGTAGTGGGCGGGGCATATGCTGTTGAATGTGCCAGGAGTTTATATTGGTCGGTTTGACTTTGCTCTCGGTATCTGCATCATCTAAACACCGACGGGAGCATATGCCCCGCCCACTACATCCAAGCTCAGCTCAGCTTTTCGTTTTGAAACCAGCTTTTCTCAACCAAAGATATTTTTTTTTCAACCAAAGATATTTTTTTTTCAACCAAAGATTTTATTTTTTTAATCAAAGATATTTTTTTTTTTTAACCAAAGATTTTATTTTTTTTAACCAAAGATTTTTTTTTTAACCAAAGGTTTTATTTTTTTAAACAAAAATTCTAGTTTCATAAGCAAAACTAACAAATAAATTATTCTCAGTTTATATATTTTCACTTACAAACTTGATTTTTGATTGCAGTGCAAGAAATTTGCTTTTAAAACATTTTTTTTTGTTTGCGTAATAAAGACACAAATATACCCTCATACAAATCTAGTCCTTGTTCTGTGTAAAAAACGCATTTTCTTGTCTTCAGCAGGCTCAGTCAGACAAATCAAGAGGTTATCTTCCAAAGATACAATGCTTAAGTAGAACATTTTCGGTTTTCTGTGTGTTATTGATCTTCAGCTCAGTAAGAAAAAAGTCTATGAAAACAGAGGGAATTTTGGACTACAAGAGAAGTCAGTCTGGAAGAGATCCTCATTATTTGGCTATAGCTTTTCAAAGCCATGACCAGAAGGAATAATTAAAGCACCAGAATAAACAGTTGCAATATAAATACAGGCAGGTGAGAAGGTATCAAGATGGACATTGAAAAATATGAACCTCTCCTTTAAGTCGTGGTGCTGCTGAGCAGTGTTTTCTTGTTTTGAAATATGATGTCTTTGGTCTTCAGGCAATAAGGGGCATATACATCCTGGTTATTTTTTAGCAAATCTGACATGTGAAGCCAGGTTAGCGAGGTAGATGTCTGAAAACACGCCCTACAGCTTTCTGTCACCTCCTTGCATTTAATATGGAACGCCTGAACTGAGTGTTGCTGAAACACTGACTTTTTTTAAAAATGTGCTACATTCATCCGGTTAACTGTTGACTTGTGAAGGTCAAATTCTTTAGAGATCCTTTTGTGCCCTTTCAAGACTAATATGAGCACACAGTGTTCATATTCAGAGGTACTAGAAAATCTGTTGATTTTGAAGGACCTCAAGGACAGATTCTTTTGTGAATTCTTCAATAGAGTCAGGTACATCTAACCTACAATGGATTGGAATGTCACTGCACTGATTAGATTACCTTACACTTCCAAAAAGGTTTGCCCATTTGACTTGACTGTAAATTAAGACCTGAGAAAGTTATTTTTTTCTGCTGCCTTTTGTTTCAGATCGTCATTACTGAGCATAGACACGAAAAGTGACTTCATAGCAGAAGAATGTACACAACTGGATACATTCTGTACACTATGAGACACCAAAGACATTTAGCATTTCTGAGCCCAATAAACAGCTTGATTAATGAGTTACCAGAGGAGGGCAGAGGAAAGTCTCAGTGGTGGCAGAAGAAGGGTTTAGACAGAAGCAGCGAGAGGAGAAAAAAAAGGAAGTGGGTGAGGGAGGAGTGCTCCTGTTAAGATGTGCAAGCATTGCTCTGGGGTATCCGTCTGCGTGTGTACCCTGCAGATGCCCTGTGCTGTCTAATCTTATTTATTTGCCTGGTCTACTTCCTTACTTACAGTACGTGAGACTATTCTCACTGCCGGCCTGATAGCTGGCGCTTGCTTATGAACAGAAACCTGTGCTCTCTCCCTGCTGTCTTCAATATCTTATATTCTTTAAATGACCCCTGTGTGACCTGTAATCATATACTTCTCCACAGATAAGTCAGGGGTAAGGCCCGAAACAGTGTCTTGCAGAAGGAATCTTTAACAGTGGTTACCTTCTAAATACTAAAACATGAACCAGGGTCCTGTTATTTAAATGCATTGATACTCTAACAGACACCCACATATTTGAGCATATCACAAGTACTTAGAGAATAACACTAACCCAGATCCCTACCACCTTTGTGCAGGCACCTGCAGTCCAGCAGGAGCTGCTAATTATAATCCCTGATCGCCTTCCACCCCAAAACACTGTCAGTTGTAATAGTTGAGGTCAGCTGGTCAAGCCAGAGGCTCCGCACTAAAGGATCTAACACAGGTTTGTGTGGGCAAATGATTCTTTCCTTTGCGACCTGGGAACCCCATGAATAACTTCTTTGTGTTTTGTATTTCTGTTCATATTTATGTACAATAACGTTTTAGAAATGTATATCTCCTTTGAACCTCTCCGGGTAATGAGTATCACAATTACACAATGTTTAACAATAACTTGCTCAAAGCAAATATAACCCAATATAAAAAAATAAACAATGCAGCAGACATCTGAAGTCAACACTGATTTTTCTGTATGAGTGTCATCTGACAGAATGCTAACGGTTAGCAGAGCTAAACAATAAGGCCATTGCACGCATTTCAACCGGGACATCACTCACTCACTCAATCACCACCTCACTCTACTGACCGTCAGGTGCAGGTACAGAGCAATGAGGGGCAGAAGGGCTCACTTTGGGAACAGCCTGATCCGTGCAGCCATAACCGCCTTAAACACCAGGCACACCTGCGTGTGTACTGTTGTCTGTCATAGTGTTGTCATGGTTAATTCTGCCGAGGATTGAGTCCTTCAACCAGAGGACTTTGAAGGATTTCGGGCTCCTAAAATATGTGCGTGATTCATATTCTGTCCCTTGATTTGGCAACAGAGGAAATATGCGAGTAAACTTTAATTTCTCCTCAGTCCTCATAAATCTGTTTCTGAACAAACTTGGTGAGAAATTGCCAATTCAGTTGCTGAATCTTCAATCAAGGTCTAATTCAAAAGTTTGTTCCGACTTTCGTTGCGCAGCGACAGGCTCGTTCAGCAAGCTATTAATAGTAGTGATGCCGGCAACAGCAGAGAGCACCAGCATATATTTTCTAACTTGGTGAATTAAGGATTTATTTTGACCAAACCAGATTTGGGGATTGTTGAAACAGTGGAAAGAGCTAATCAAGATGGTCCCATGTTTGTTTATTGTATTTAAGAAGGGGCAATGCACATTAATTAACATCATGTAAGTGTGCCTGATTTAGACATACCGGCTGATCTTTGATCTGCAGTCCCTGGCAGTTTTATTGCGATAAAGAAAATATGCATGCAACATATGAATATCGCAGAACAGATTCTACAGAGGTGTAGATGATTAACTAATTGTATATATAATCAAATCTATTTGTTCTGCATAAATAATTGAAAAAGTAGTGAGAAATAAATAATTAGCAGCTAATTGCTGTTATTGAGTAAGTACTAGTCTATTTATTGTTACTGATTGGGGGGGAGAAATATGCTGCTTCAGCCGCAGATATAACACGCTGGTAATTCAACACAAACTTGTGCCATGAGAGGTAATGAGGTTTTGGTTGCCATTTGTGTTCCACTCTCCAGCAGCCTTGCTTTAAATCATGGTGCAGACCTTTCGGGCCATCTTGCTTTGGTAGAAAAAGGCACAACTGAATCCAATGCGACTTGAAAAGGACAGTCTTTAAGTGACTGGTACAATTTTAAACAGGGCCTGTCGTTGCTTTGAAAGGATCCAGGGCCAAAGGTAATTACCAATACCTCAATTCAACCAACTTATCACTCACCCCGACCAATAAGGAGAGTGATAAATGCATCAGCACCAATAGTACAACCAGGCTAGTGTGTCTATAAATACAATAAGAAAGTGATCCGACATCACAGATGTGACAGGAGAGCTGGTGAGAGCAGAAAGGTCTATCCCATGAGAAGGAATCAAGTCCAGGGTCTTACCTCTTCAGTGAGAAGGTTCATGTACAAACTGAGTGAAACCAAAAGAATCAAGAAGTGCTTTAGGATCAATGCTTATTCAGGTGAACATTGAAATCCCCAAGAAAATCCCCAAATTCTTTTAAAAACTGTGTATAAATAGCCCAGGTGGTCTATAGAGTACCACAAGGTGGAATGATCGGAGTGTGTTGCCCTGGACAAAGCTGATGCATCCTTCAATTACAGTGATTCCTACCACACTGTCCTGAACAATGACCAGGATGAGGACATTAACACTTGAGGGTAAAATGCTCTGATGATTAGTTCAAAGCCAAGCAGCTGGGTGTGCTTAGTTTTGAAGATATTGAGCAAGGAAAACACCCTAAACAGACACTTGGCCAGGAAAGCAAAATTGCTCAGGGATGTCTGAGCAATTGACCTTCTGCCAAGGGTGGTGTCATTTTGTCTGCGTGATTAGTTCATCCTGCTGGGCCACCTATGCATGAAACAGGAACGCAAAGGAGCACAAACCAAACTGATTAGAGGTGAACTACGGCTCACGGCTTCAATAGGTTGCATTTTAGAGAATATAAGATATGTTCAGTTTTAGAAAAATCCTACTTTACAACTACTTTAAGAGGCTAGTGAAAGTTGAGGTACTGTACAACGACTACTGAAGCAAACCAGAACCTTATAAGACCAGAAAGAGTCATTTTCTGTGTGCCAGTGCAGTGGAGCGACTTAAACTACCTCATATAATTACAGAGGTGCAAATCTGGTCTTGAGGTCAAACTGGCTGCTCAATGAATTTTCCAAATAAAGTGAACCATATTTAACTTGACAGTATGTGGCATTATTTTATATTTATCTTTCTGACAGATTTACTCTTACACTGCAAATTGACCTTTCCATATCTGCAAAGGTTTACGTGTTGCTGATCAATACCAGTTTCTCTACAATGGTTTCTACTTGCTGCAATTTCCTGCTTTGAAAACACACCTTTCACTCTGTGCTCCGTGCCTTGGAACAAACATGCACTTTGCGATTGTTAAACAAAGAAGATGGGGCTAAGAACAAGCGAACGGTGTCACAAAACATTTTTGGAATAATATTCCTTGAAGCTCCCCAGTAATTAGCCGTCATTCTCACTGCTTTTGTGAAAATGTGACTCTTAAATGTGTGTCTGTTGTTTTAGTTATGACTATTTGGGGCAACCAACAGCAAGCAGTGCCAGACACCTCAGGGGTGTTGCAATCCTTGAACATCCTCTAGGCTCAGAAGCTGCTCTCTTATGTGGAGTGTAAATAACAGCAGCAGTCAATAAGCTGGTAGAAAAACTCTCACACAAAGCTAGATAAATAAAATGACCAGGATGCAGTTGGGAGCGTTAACTTCAAAGTGGAGTATACAATCACAGAGAGTGAAGTAGCCCAGTGGGTGTTCTCCATGTCCTACACTGTATTAACCTCTTTAACCCTAGCACTCTAAATATCACTTTGGAACATATGGATAGATACAGTATACCGCACAAACAGATGCAGTCTCCAGTGCATAACCATGCATCAGGTATATTTAACCCGCACCACAATTTGGGAACCATATAGTTAAGAAAACGGAAGCTGCTAATGTTAGCAATGCCCAGATAACAAGTTTCCTACCTCCAGTAATAACCAAGAATCACTGCAAAGAGCATATTATAAGCAAACTAGATTATTTTGCAGAGTTATAGGTGAAGTTACAAAAAGTTTGGGACTGGAACATCCAGTGTGTGAAAGCCAGTCCCAGATGCAACTACAGAGTTTAGGTGATCATTAGTGCCCCTGTCCTCTCCATTGCACATGGAAAAGCTCACTCCAGTAGTAAAAACAACCTGACACAGCCTTACATTAGCTCAGGAGATGTGACGAGGGAGCCAACGCAAGGTTATACTTAAACACTTTGTTTATCTAATGTAAAGTCAAACTAACAATGGAGTGGGCAGATCAGCAATGAAAACAGTGTATAGATGTGTGGCATGTGTGCTGTGGAGGTGTTAAGGTGCAGGACCAAAATACAACAATGCAGGTTAAATGGCAGTTGTAGGGTGGAGGGATGAACACATGGACCGGGTTTAAGCCCACAACCCTCCCTTGCTACCTTGTTTAAGAACAAGGTTCCACCTTGACATCTGAAACACAAAACAAAGTCAAAAACAATATAATAAGATTGTATTAAAAGAAATATAATTTCCAATTTTAGCTTGTTTTTTTACAAGTGTCCCCTGTGCACTCGAATGGCTGTCATAATAAATATACTCCCATATGAACAGTGACCTAAAGCTCCAACAGCCGTCCAGTTTACCAGATCTAATCTCCCACCCGGCAGCCTTGGACCCAGTGGAGCAATCAAAATGCTGATGAATTGGGAAGTAAAAAGTCACATAAAAAAACTGCTTATGAGTGCATGCGTGAGACAGTCGCTCATGATCAGTACCTAAAAGTGTAAAAGAGAACCTACCTCAACATGCAGATCGTTTTTTGCTGAAACATAAGAAAGCAAAAAGCATAACAGTGAGGAGTATGGTCAGCAGGAAAAGAGATTCAACCGCTGACCCGAAGTACACATCAAAATGATGATCGCACAAATTACACTGGAGCTCATCACAAGTACCGAGCACACGGCCTGCAGCTAGACAAAGCCAACTCACAATGATCTGTCTACACAAACGTTCCAACTTCCACATACACAAAGCTGGAATTACCAAGTAAGTGCCAAACTAACGTGGCATACCCAAAAACAAAGGCTCGCTAGCCAATCCAATCATACACAAGAGGGAAAGGAGGAAACCAAGCTCCATCAACAAACTCATAAAAAACAAAACCAAGCGTGAGCTACATCATTTCCAATGGTCATTACAGCCAATTTAAGGCAATTGACAAAAACTTACAGGCAAACATGTCAAAACCAGCAAGGCATTCCAACAGGGAAACAAAGCCAAGGGGGCAGGTTGGATATTTAAAGTCCAAAAGATCAGGTAGAGTTTCAGAACCAGCAGATTACAAGGTACAGTAAACATACTATAGATGCTGGAACATAAATACATGAGGCACATGTCAACTTAGACAAAATGACACTGACTGAAGAGAATGGGCTAATGAGGAAATGAGAAACAGCTGGCGAGATGGGCGGGGAATGGGCAGAATGTGCAGGAATACACACAGATGATGTGAAAATTGTGACAGTTGTTACAAATAAAAAGCTAATTTACCATGAGGATAAGATTTGTGAGAGTCTGCATGCAGTAGCTGAACACAGCCGATTCTTAAACTGATGGATCACTGTGCAATAATGTATTTACACCCCTATTATAGAGACAATGATTTAAGAATTAGGACTGAGTTTAATCAATGTGTGCACTGGGAGCTTTAACTTTGAAAAAGCGCTTTTCTTATTGTCACTTACGGCAGTATAAAAAGACACATTGAGATATTGCAAGCACGCTGAGAGCTGTTCATGATATATTTATGAGGGAGTCTTTCCTTCAAACTCATATTCAGGTGAAGGTTTTACATTATTGAACAGATTATTAAACAGAACGGATTAAGAGCAGCAGCTATATCTCTCATCATTAAACAGGTAAAATAGTGCTGTCGCCAACTAGGTGATCTATAAATTGTGAGCAGTTGACCTGTCCTGGATATCATCCTTAAATAGCCTGACCTCACTACCACAATCACTCACATCCAACCGCTTTCCTCTTATTCCCGGGTGACCCCAGCACTGATTTATGAAAGCAGGAAGCATTATCTGGCTGTTCTAGATTTTCACATAGTGACTAGTGACAAACCTTTTCTCAGCAGACACCGGTCCTGACTGCCCAACACAAACAGATAAGAGGCACAAGTGAGGGTGTTTGTCTTATACCCAGTGAATACATGTCTCCCATGTAGGGTTAGCTGCTTTCTTTCTTTCATCAGATAAAGGGAAGAAATATATTCCAAGAGCAAATAGCCAACACTTGCAATTTCTGTCCCAAACATTCACAAAAGCATTGACAGGTTATACTACTTACAGAGATTGAATCTTCTGATTTGTAAGCATCGGTATTGCTAACTGTTATTATATGAATAACAATATGACTATATGTGCGTTGTTTGTTATAGTTTACTTGCTGCCATGTTGTTTGAGATTACGGCCAGGTTTATTATTATTTTGTGATAATGGAGCACTTATAATAATAATAGGAGGTAACATCTTTTAGATATGGGGCAGCAATATAGGCATGGCTGTACCCAGTAATTATAAATATCTAATTAAAAATAGTTTAACCATAATTACTTTCTCCAGGGAGGTTATGTTTTCAGTTCAGGTTATTTGTTTGTCAGCAGGATTATACAAATTTGGTGTAACCCATTAAATTTGGAGCAGATCTGATTCATGGGGAGGATTACACAGATTATGTTTCACTTTCGTTAACATTGCGATATACAGCATTGCCTTGGAGGAAGTGAGAAGTGCCTTTCTAGTTACCTGATCATTTTCCAACAAATACACAAATTGTTCTTGTTTAACTTTACCAATAAATATATTATTGGATAAATTATGTAAGTAGAAAATACTTAGAGCATTATTTCAGGGTTGTGATCTTATTGAGGCTGCTTTATACACAGCAACTGTTTTATAATTGCAATAATCAAATCTCACAAAACATTTTGAATGGTCTGTGAACTGGTATCAGGCAGAGAAAAACGAATAGGCCTGTTCCTTGTTGCTGTAGAGTGACAATCTCATCCAATCATGCAGCAGCAATGCAGTCATCAGTTTATTAGACCTTGTAATAAACCGCACTGTTAATCTTACAATAAGCCCCATTTAATCAACAATCTGGTTGTACTGAATCACAGCTATTCTCGAGCCCTGAAATTTGATTGTCAAATGCCTTCAAACACACACTCATGCATAGACACAGTTCCATATTGTACATGCACACCACAAACCCCATTTGCATGCAAACAAAACAGATACACACCATTCCCAACAGTACCTTCATCACCATTCTACAGTACACGATACATCCAATTAGTGTTGTTTTGCCCTCCATTCTCCATGCTCCCTTTGTGTTGTTGGCCATTGTTTGAAATGCTCTGATTAGAAACCTGTTTCAAAGAGCAATATTCACCCTAACTAAAACAAGTCTATTAATAATGGATACATAAATCTAAATGTGTGCAGATAATATGTGAGCTCATCATTCACACTTGATTTTTCTCATAGTGTCGTTTGTGTAAGAAAATAATAATCGCATGCAGTTCTAATGGTAGAAATAGGGTATTTAGTTTGCAAACCCTCTCCAGCGCTTGCAATATTAAATCTTTTCCTAATTCCCAGTATCAGCCTATGCAAAGGGGAAGCAAAACCTCAAGCTGATACCACTCGGTCAATACTGTCAAAGTGTTTGATTCTAACCTGAGATAGCCTTCATCCTAATTCGTTTTCTATCTGCCACAGCCCCTATTAGATGCCAGGTCAAAATCATTGATGGTGGCAAAGTCAATGACTATCTACTTTACTTCTCGTGAAATAGCTCCCTTTTGCTGCTGTATGAGCGAGGAGGCTACTCATCATAATTGTCAAGCTGCTTTCTACAGACTGGCTGTGTGGCGGTAGCTGCTATGACTTTTACTGTGCTGAAAATAAACCTGCACCTTCAGAGTAGCAATTTCAGTGTCATTATCTTGGCGTTGCAATTACATCCTTTGTATGTAAAGGTGTATTCAGTTTGACACCCTTCTGAGATAATTAAAATAATTTGAAAAGGGTGAAGGATTTATAAAAAAATATACGGTAGGTTGCTTTTCCTTTTTTATATGAAACATAAAAAAGGCACTTTTGCAGCCACGATTTGTTGTGCTCTTGGTGAACTAATATGTTCATCAAACAACCACAGTGTGCATGTGATGTTTAGAAGAAAAAAAGAAGAGGAGGAGGAAAATACCTGACAACAGTTTGTCAGGATGCTGAACCTACTGACTGAAAAGTAAGAGAGGGACCGCTCAGTCATGTATTTGACTGACGTGTGCAATAACCTGTTTCATAGCAAATGGCATTCAGAGTACAGATTTTAACTCTATCAAGGGATGTTTCACTTTGGAGATGCTGTCAGAAAGAAGTGAAAACAAGTGAAATATTGGAGACCATCCAGGAAGCCTCAAGATGAGTCACATTGATAGAAAGGAGGACAGACATAAAGGGCTAAATAAAAGGCGCTGGTGCATCATCCGCAAAGACAAAAGCCCTCGGGGTACAAATTCCACCTATGCATCAATGTTATTGATACAGTGAGACATAAAGGTTATTGCAGTGGTGATTTCAGCCATTACCTACTCAAATCAAGCCATAAGGGTAAAAAACGGTTGAGCATCCGCCGTCTGGAAGAAGAGCAGAGGGAGGAAGGTAACAATCCTCCATCGACTTCATTAGGTCGTAGGGAAGCTCCAACCTAACAACCGGTCTTGTCTCTTGTGAGGCCGCATATACTTCACACACACACACACACACACACACACACACACACACACACACACACACACACTCCTGGCTGCTTTTCCATTAAAAGCCAAGAAGACACACACAAAGGAATGGATGCAGACATCCATAGACAGCGTCGTTGCTCAACCTGACACACGTTGCCTGCTGAACAGAGGCGTGTAAGCCCCAGGTAAATCAAGTGCTACTGTAGGCCCCACTGTGCCTGTCTGCAACAACTGTATTGTTTATAAAAGAAAAAGGTGGGGTGAATAAAACTGGATATTTCCTCTCAGATCCATGTTCAAGCTGACAGCACAGTCATCTCAAGCAGTTCATAATTCATCATAACCAGAAGCTTTGCACTAGTGATGAGCAGATCAACAACAAAAGTATGGATGCTGCCATACCTGTGTCTTTCTGTTATCACATTAACCATTCTCCATGTTTGCCAGAGAGATACAGTCTTCTTAGGATCATTTTCAGCTAACTTGTGACCACACCACAGCATTATCATCGCCGAGATTAACTGTGACACGACTGAACTTCCAAGCTCTCAGTACTCACAATCGCTAGGTCAAAATGTTGTATGATTTGGTTGCTTTTCTTTTTTAGTCCTGTAATAAAGCTGTGAACAGCAGAAATATTTGCAGCGAAGTTGTCTGTTTTAATTGCATTAAACGGGAGAGGGGAAGGGGAGTATGACCCAAACTAATTTCAGTGATTAGTGAGTTATTCTTAGTGGCAGCCTGTAAAAAAAAGCCAAGTGTACTGGTAATTTATTTTAAATTGTATAGAAATATCCTCCCTTTCATGAAAGTACAAAATTCTAATCAGTATCTGCATCAGTATCACTACTTTGCAAAATAGCCTGTTGAAGCATACTACAAGCTACAAAAATATGACTTTTTGAAGAAGGGATTTGGAGAATAATGTTTATAGTATGAGATTACATGTCCACAGTTTAACCCAAGTTGTTTTAATGGCAGATTTTGAGCAGATGCTTCCACCAGTT